TGATTTAGAAGCTGGTTTAGTCTTTGGTTTGTCCCTGGTTCAGTCCTGGTTCAGTTGAAGGTTTAGTCCTGGTTCAGTCCCTGGTTCAGTCTCTGGTTCAGTCTCTGGTTCAGTCTCTGGTTCAGTCTCTGGTTCAGTCCCTGGTTCAGTCCTGGTTCAGTCCCTGGTTCAGTCCCTGGTTTAGTCCCTGTTTTAGTCCTGGTTCAGTCCCTGGTTCAGTCCCTGGTTCAGTCCCTGGTTCAGTCCCTGGTTCAGTCCCTGGTTCAGTCCCTGGTTCAGTCCCTGGTTTAGTCCCTGGTTTAGTCCCTGGTTCAGTCCCTGGTTCAGTCCCTTGTTTAGTCCTTGGTTTAGTCTCTGGTTCAGTCCCTGGTTCAGTCCTAGTTTAGTCTCTGGTTTAGTCTCTGGTTTAGTCCCTGCTTCAGTTCAGGTCTAGCCCTGGTTTGCCCCCCTCACCCTCCTCTCTCTCCCTCCTCTCTCTCCCTCCTCCCCCCGTCCTCCCATCTCTCCCTCCTCTCTCTCCCTCCTCCCCCCCGTTCAGAGCAGGTGGTCCTGTGGTGCTGCTCTGAACAGCAGTTAGTCAGTGGATTAACAGCGTCATCCGTATGGAACAGTTTTAATATTTAAAGACTAACACACATTTTACGAGTCTGAGTCGACAATAAAAAATAAAATATTTATCAAACAGGTGCAAGATTTACTGCGACCAAAGCACTTTACACTGAGCATTCAGGTCAGGAGGGAGAGAGGGGGGTAGACACGGGGCAGAGAGGAGGGGTCGATACAGGGGTCAAATGGGGGGTGATGGGGTGGAGGACACTACAGACATGTCAACCATTTTATTACAGTACAAATGTTCTTTACTGCAGCAATGGGGATGTAACAATAATTAAAATATCATAATATCGTGTCGTTAGAAGTCTCACAATAACACTGGGGACCGTCACAGTATATAGGAACTACATAGACCATGATCCTTTGTTCCATTTCAGCAAAAACAGCATGAAGAAATTATATTATTAAGCACTTTTAAATGTAGTTCTTCAGGTTATGACAGAACCAAACGACTGTCGAGGCATTTTAAGAGGAAAAAGTCACATAGTCACAGTTTTTTTTAGCCTCCACAAAAGATCGCAATCATCGTACTGTGAGATGCATACCGTAAAAATATTGTACTGAGGGATTTGGATATCGTTACATCCCTATAGAGCAATAAATACTTCTCTCTCCAGGCCAAATAAGAGTCAGGTCTGTGGAGATGCAAGCCTGCTCAGAGTAAGAACATTTTTGTTTTTTCAGCTTAATAAAACACAACCAAACACAAATAAAGACATACTTTTTTAAAATTCAATTTTTTTGGTTAAAAAGTTGCATACTGTGGCTTTAAATTTGGGACTACTATTACTACTACTCAAATTATGCAAATTAACTGACACAGCTATTGATGCTACACCTTTTTGGTTCCTCTTCCCACTGTGAGTAAGTTTAGAAGTGACAAAACCTTGATAACAATATGAAATGATGGGTTTTTTTTTTTCCTGCACCATATGATTTAGTTTGTCTCCTTTTTGTTTCCATCCTTTGAAAATACCAGATTTTGTGCACTATTTAATGTTTTGTCCATCAAATTCCATTCACTTCAAATTATAAATCAGATGTTTTGTCTTGTTACCTCTTTAAAGGCACACAGTGTAACATTTCTGGTAGAGGTTCTGCCATCTGATTACCTCCTAAAATGTTCTACAGTATGGCATTTAATTTAACTCCATGGAGACAAGCAGACCACATCACCAGACCAAGTTACAGGTCAGATCTGCGGAGAAATGGACCCGCTGTCTGAAATATGCATGTTTTGTGGTAGTTTTGAGAAATAAAAACACCTGTAATTAAATACATACAACTTATACTGGTATTCGTTTAATGCCGTACTGTGGAACATCCCAAACAACACAATAAGATCACCATGGAGACAAAGAGGTGGCACCAGAAAAGTTAAACAATGCACCTTTACATTAGTCTTTACATTTCCCAAATATTTTTCTACTTTTTGCGTAATTTCTTGAACCACTACTTTATACTCTCTACTATATTTTGAAGTAACAGTACTTTAAAAATACAATAACACAAAATAAAGGACAAAGTGTGTTCACGTGATGTGCCTTTACCTCTCTGTAGTGTGACTGAACACGTATGAAATTTACAAGGTGATAATAAAAGCAGAGCCTGAGGAAACACAGATGGGTCAGACAGAGTAAAGATGACTCCACTCTCCATTACAACTGTGAATCAGAGCCGTGAATCACACGCTTTTAACCTGATTATCTTTGCTTTAATTCACTTAAGTTTAGTCATCCACTATTCCACATGTGTCACTGTCTCAAACACATCCACCGCACACAGTAAGAAGCCGATTACAGTGAGAGAAAACATTTAAAATAATTTCATTCTGGTCACAACAGCAGAAAACAAATCTTATATTTGAGAGGTTACAGTATCCAGGACAATTTGCCAATATTAATATTTATATATAATCTTAAAATCTATAGAACAGACAAAATTTATGTGAAGTAGGGATGGGACGAGACAAAATATCCAGAAGATACATACATAGATATATCCTGTATTTTCTGCTCTATTAGACGCTCTGGATTATCAGGCACACTGTCATTAAATGGTCTATTTTCGAACTTTTTTCACAAATAAACCGCACCGGACTTTAAACGAAACCCAACAGTGTGATGGGTGAGTGTTTTTGTTTGTTTGTTTGTTCACAGTGACTCTGGGCTTTGTTCAGTTGTGGCGTGTAGGGAGGGTGTTGTTTGGGACCACTGGATTGTCGGCGTGTTCGCAGTGACTCAGTTGTTCAGTTGTGTCTAGAAGTGGCACATTGCACTTGCTTTTTCGGGTCGTTCCTCTGTTCCGTTCCATTCGTCGCCTGGAGTGATGAGTGTGTCTGTGGGTGTGTTTGGCTGTGTGGTCACTGTCTGCTCCGTGTATGTTTGTGTGTTCTGTGGGTGGTGCGGCTTTGTAGTTTACTGAAGTTGTGCTGGGACACCTTCATGTATAGGGCGCTCTGGATTGTGGGGTGCGTAATTGTTTTTTGATGGGGTTGGAGGCTTAAGAGTGCGTCTAATAGCCCAGAAAATAAGGTATGTATATAAGATACATACATTTCATGGCTCAGTTTCCAATTTTGGACTCACAATTTTATTATTTATTTCATTTCATGGGTTTGTTTCCTTTTTAACAGTAAGAGATGTAACTCACCAACATGTAGCCCTTTTTATTCTCAATCCGAACACATGGAAAAAAAATCTCACAAGATCATTTTCCTCATGTGTGGTCGATCTTGTGGCAATTTTGTCTCATGAAATCTTGTGGCATGAGATTTTGTCCCATCGATCATGTGAAGCTATAGTGAACGTTTTTCAAATCTACTTTTTCCTTTTGTAATAATAAATGCATTTATGTGGGATGTATATTAATATCTTCACTCATTTAGTCTGCTCAAAAACAGAGTTGATGCACTGAGGACAGGCCACATGGCATGCTTCCAGCTCCATCGACTCTGGCTCCCATTGATTTACACTGGTAGTGTCTCACTTCTCTTTCCTCGCTTCCTTCTCCTTAAAAGGCTCTATTCACGCTAACGCCACAAACCAGGAAGACGTTTGGAAACATGCAACGACAGCTTCCGGAGGGCTCTGTTCACGGTGAGAAGTCTGACCAAATCTAGGAAAAATGAGAAAATGGCCCAGTTTTCTTCATCTCCATGTCATTGTATTCTTTCTTTTTTCCTTTTATAAACTGCCTATTCATTTGTGTATTATAATTTTTCTTACTAAAAAATTTAAAAAGATGTCATTGTAGTGTTCTGTTTTGTTCGGCAGATCAACAGTTACAACCATCGGCCTGTGAGTGACTTGTTTGTGAAAAGCGCTGCTGCTAAATCCAGTTTATCACATGCCCAGTATCAGTAACTACACAGACAGTTGTCGTCGCATGTTTCCAAATGTCTTCCTGGTTTGTGACGTAAGCGTGAGTAGAAGCGTGAATTCCTCTCCTCGATTCTGCAGGAAATGGGTGAGGAAGTCCTGCCCACAGAGGAGACACAGGGAGGAGAGAGGAACTCAACTCCTCACTGAGACCAATAAAGTCTGATTCTTTTCTCTGGTGTCTGCTCCTGAAGCCTTGCTCAGGTTTACCGCTTCCTTCTGTGGTTTTCTTCGGGGACACCACTTAACATGGCACGTTTGATTGACAGCTGAAAAATGGAGGATCAAAGAGAAGGAAGCAAGGAAAGAGAAATGAGACACGGGCATTTAAAAACCATAGTCCCTCTCTGTGACTGCTGTGAATCTCATCATTTTGGTCTTAAAATGTTCATATTAACCCGCTCGACATGATCCTGGTGTTTCCTATTCCTAATATGGAACTCAGGTATAACCGCCAGCCTCCATGAGCTTCATTTGACTGGAGCCGAACACTACAGGTGACATCACACTTCATTAGTCCACTTCTCTATGGGACAAACTGGGACTGACACACGGACTCACACAGACGGAGACAGAGAAAAAATATCGGTGCTAAATATTTGCTAAATTTTCAATATCGAACAGAAACCGATATCTAAGGAAATCCTCCAATCAGACTCTTCTGGATTCAAACAAAATGGCACCAATTACACAGATACAGCATTCAAAAGGGGTTTAACGATATCCAAGTCTCACGATACGATATTGTCAAACTGAATATGCTCCTTTTTCCTCTTAAAATGCCTTGACAAGACTTAATCCAAAGAACTTTGACTTAAAAGTGCTTATTGTGAGAACTCTGATGATACGATATCATGATATTTCAGTTATTGTTACATCCCTAATATTCAAACAACGCAAGGTGTGTGAAGTGTATTGCCTAAGGACACAACAGTATGCTCTTGGTTGAAGCTGGGATTGAACCACTGATATTCTGGTTAGAAGGCAAACATCTAAACTCCCTCTCACCTTTGTCCTTGTGCTCCGTGATGCAGTGGCTGATGGACTGGCTCAGACCCAGGGTGGCTGTGGAGCGGATCGGCCCCAGGATGGACTCCAGCGTTGGGGCGTTTCTCTTCGGGATGCCCCCCTGGTCCTGGCTCTCCGCCCCCTCCGTGTCCCTCTCCTCTCCCCCGCTCGCAGCGCTGTCCTGGGGCTGCTCGAGCTTCCTCAGGGCCTCTATGGTCAGTTCATCCAGCTCCCTCCCAAAGTGCTTCGCCACCGCCTGGAGCTCGTCTTCCTCCTCTTCATCGCCGTTATCCGCTTTGGTCGCAACAAACATGGCCTCCTCCAAGTCCTGCACGGGCACTGGGAAAGAAATGTACAGGATATTTATTGGTAAAATTACAATTGTGTCACACCCTCCTATTCATGGGTTTCAGGTTATTTGTATTTGCAACATTTTGAGAACTCCCAATCAAAAGATGAGAATATGGGAGGGCATCTGACACACAGGGACACAGGAGGAGGGGAGGGCATCTGACACACAGGGACACAGGAGGAGGGGAGGGCATCTGACACACAGGGACACAGGAGGAGGGGAGGGCATCTGACACACAGGGACACAGGAGGAGGGGAGGGCATCTGACACACAGGGACACAGGAGGAGGGGAGGGCATCTGACACACAGGGACACAGGAGGAGGGGAGGGCATCTGACTAGGGGTGTTAAAAATATTGAAATATTGATAAATTGTATTGTTAAATTTCATGATACAATATCGATATTGAGGGCTGCTGTATCGATATATCGCCAAGAGTATTTTTAGGTATATTTTACAAAATTAATTCATGAAAGAGCTACGATTATATTGACATTTTCACTGTTTTGAATAAAATTGGTGTTTTTCATATTAACTTCGCACAAACTAAGGCTGCGTTCACACTGCAGCCTGAAGTGACCCAAATCCAATTTTTTGGCCTCTATGTTCCTGTATCTGATCTTTTAATGACAGTCTGAATGACACAGATCCGATTTTTTCAAATGCGATATGCGATATGTGCTCCTGAAACCGATACATATCTGATCTTTTGACATGCAACTTCAGTGTGAACGGCCAAAGTGCATTCATCCACCTACACGTTATCAACAAGACACAAACGTCACTATTCTGCACTGAAGTAGGGGAAAACTGTTAATGAACTCACTGAGGTGAAGCACATCACCACTCACCACTCTTGGCTCCGTCTCCACATCCACACGTTCCTTTCAACAGACTGTCCCACAAAACACCATGGCCAAAAACCTCGACCTTCTCCTTCTCAATCTCCTTAAAACATGTAAGTTGTTCATGTTCTGGCTCTGGTACGAGAGGAACTTTAAAATCTCCAGGTGCTCAATGCTGCGTTCATGTTTGTGCAACTTCTGTAAACACAGAGACGCTCGCTGTGGTTGACGTCGTCGTGTCTCCAGTGCTCATGCAGGACACTTTTGGGCCATTTAATGTTCACACTGGAGTCACATACAAGTCGCATTTAATTGGAAATGTGAACGACCTCGCAAAAACATTGGATTTCACAAAAAAATCGGAATTGAGCGTTAAGCCCTGCAGTCTGAACATAGAATTAGTAGACTTAAGACTTTTAGTATCACAGCCATGATTTAGTCTTTGTTTTTCAGTGAACCGTATCGAATTGATTTGAAATATATCGTATCAAATCGTACTGAATCGAAAGTGTACTGTATCGAAAACCGTATGGTATTGTGGCCTGTGTATCGAGGTATGTATCGTATCGGCAACTCGTGAATGACCCAGCCCTACATCAGACACACACAGAAATAGGGCATCTGACAACATTTTGATGACCTTTCTCTCAATGGAGTTTATAAACAGGAAGCTGAAGCCCATAGATAACCGTGTGTCAGATGTCCTCCCACCCTCCTGTGTCCCTGTAGTGTTAGACTGAGGCTCTATTTAATCTGCAGATGTTGTGATTTGTCTGATGCCCTCCCAGATGCTGTCGTGTGGTTGGAGAAATAAAGCAGAAGAATGGACTTTGCAGTTGAGGAAAATGCTCAGTTTTCCGTGTTGTAGTTTACCTTCTCTGGTGTAGGCTGCGTAGATCCCTCTGAGTTTGGGTCGACTGTTCTGGAGCTCGGCGTCGATTTCATCCTCAAATTCATGAATCTCATCTACAACAAAATGAAAAATGAAGTAATAATGGAAACTGTATTAAATGTTGAAATGTCATTTTAAACTCAAATTCTTACCTTCGATCTCATCGTCTATCTGCTTCTTCAATTCTATCTCCAGCTACAAGAAGAAAAAACTAAGCACTAAGTATAAAATGAATAGACTTAAAGATTTTGATACCACAATAATAATAAATCATATTTATTTAGACAACAGAATGTAATTTTGAACATTAAATGATAGTACTTTTTCTTTTCTATTCCCATGTGTCTTATATATGTGTGTAATCCCTCAGTGGTCCAGTAGGTTCCATAGTGTCCGTGGGTGTATACACGTCTATGTGCTCTTATACTTGTTCATCATTCTAAACACATTCAGGAAAGGTTTCTGTCCTGTGAACAGGACTTTTTTACTATTTTTCATATAAATCAATATTTATGACAAACCTAGTAGGGAAAAAATGTGACTGTTTTTGTTTTGTTAAATGGGACTGATTAAAAGACTTATGTTCAGGAAAAGACATTTGACGTGCTGTTAGCATGCTAGTTGTTGTTGTTAATTTCACAGTGAGGCCAAAACTCTGCTCTGGTCTCAGAAATTTAAGATGGTAAAAATCAGCTACAGTTCCTTAAAAGATTTGACTCAAAGACTGTTACATACTACTACTGTAGCCACAGCTGCCCTGGAGCAGACTGACAGAAGAATGGATTCTAATTTGCCCCATTGGCCTTAGTGCAAAGGTGCTGCGTTGTGTGACTTTTCTGGTGGAGGTCTGTCAAATGCTTTTCTGAGAGGAGATGTTATTGCTTTGTCTGGAATGTTTCACAGTGTGGCATTAGATCTTTCTATCTTTATGGAGACCAAACCAAGTTACAGGTCAGATCTGTGGAGAGGCGACCCCACTTACAGTCAGAATGTCTGTTTTTTTAGGGATTTTTGAGATGTAAAACCACCTGTAATTAAATACATGCAAAGAAGAGCTGTTAAATGTCACACTGTGGAACATTCCAGGCAGAGCAATGACATCTCCACAGAAACAAGTAGGTGATGGACCCTTGACCAGAAAAGTTACACAGTGCACCTTTAAGTTCGTTCTAAAACATACAAATATAACTGCTCCTCACCCCCTGATATTTCTTCTTCCTGAGTCCAGCGGTGAAACATGGAGGGTCACACTCCTGATCCAAGTCCAGCCTCATGAACTCCTCGATGGTCATGTGACTGGTGGGCGTGTCCTCAAACTCATTCAGCCTAAACAGGAGAAATAACACCACAAATACAAGAAGTTTTTAAAAACTTTCAGATACACCAATAAGACTCCCAAACAAAACACAGATTTGAAAAATGTTTAAAGCTCAAACTCAACCCTGTCTGCTGTCCCCTCACCTTTTCCTCAGCGTAGTTTCACACACTTTCACCACGTCCACGATTTCTTTGATCGTTCGTCTGAATTCGTACATTCGAGCAGCCACCAGGAGAGCTGCAAAAGAATCGGTCGGTATAGTGGAAATCATTTAGTTTAAAGGACATATTTCGGACATATATGAAACTTTGACATGCCTTTAACTGTTCAGTTCAACTTAATGTGTTGTTTTGAGAAACGTAATCAGCTCTGATCTAAAACTATTAAACAAAAGCATCAGAAACGATTTGATTCTCCATTTTGTGTGGAGTTTGGAGCTTGGTCTGAAAAGCATACATTAATATTACATAAACTGCAGCTCATTACTGCTCTAATGAAGTTAATCTTCTGTAATGGGGCGTCTTAAAGGGACAGTTACGTAAGAGCCATTAGACTCAGCTGACTCCACTCAAACATACAGGCGCCGGCTCCTACACACACGTCCAAAACAGAGTAACAGCATTAAGCCGAAACCAGGCTCCAAACTATGGACCAAGGGCCAAATGCAGCTCAGAGACTCAATGTTGACCATACTTTTACTTTTTTTTGCAAGTTTAAAAAAGCTCCAGCATCATGAGCTCAGAGTTTGCTGTGAGACAAAGACGTTGTATTCTGGTGCCAAGTTTATTTATTGGTTTGGAGGTAGTTTTGTTAAGTCAATAGAAGTTCGTGTGGTATATGTATTACGCACAAGCATAGCATTACCACGGCAGTACCGTATTTTCTGCACTACTAGGTGCTCTGGATTATAAGGTGCACTGTCATTAAATGGTCTATTTTCAAACTTTTTTCACAAATAAACCACACCGGACTTTAAAGGAAACCCAACAGTGTGATGGGTGAGTGGTTTTGTTTGTTTGTTCGTTCATGGTGACTCTGGGCTTTGTTCAGTTGTGGCGTGTAGGGAGGGTGCTGTCTGGGACCAACGGATTGTCGGCGTGTTCGCAGTGACTCAGTTGTTCAGTTGTGTCTAGAAGTGGCACATTGCACTTGCTTTTTTGGTTCGTTCCTCCGTTCCTCGCGTGGAGTGATGAGTGTGTCTGTGGGCTGTGCGGGCGCTGTGTGGTCGCTGTCTGCTCCGTGTGTGTTTGTGTGTTCTGCGAGTGGTGCAGATTTGTAGTTTACTGAAGTCGTTCTGGGACACCTGAGTGGATTCGTGTATAGGGTGCTCTGGATTGTGGGGCGCGCAGTCGTTTCTTGGTGGGGTTAGTGGCTTAAGAGCGCGCCCTATGGTGCAGAAAATACGGTACCTGCTCCACAGAGTCCCGAGGGCCTTCGTCCTGTGTGCATCCAGTCCCTCTTCATCCTCTGCACCAGCCTCAGCGCCGTCATGGAAACCTCATGATTCTTCTCTCCAAACTCCAACATCTGAGCAAAGCGTGGGATGTACAAACACGGGTCTGAAACAAGAGAGAGACATGTTTAAATACTGTTTAAAACTATAACAAACCGACCAAACTAAAGCTACAACATCTGAGCAGAGGCCGGGATGTACAGGCACAGGTCTGTGGAGAGGAAATGAAATTAATCTGGCACAAAAGTGGAACTATCACTGAAAAAAATTGCAATTATCAACGCACATTACACTCACATTTTTCTTCCTCGCCTGATACATCTGCAGTTTTGTTTAGTCCAATTCGATCACCATTGATAATCCGTGATGAGCTCCTCTGCCTGAAGTAAAACCAAAACCACTGAGTACTTCAGTGTTTCCGCCCCTGACCACTTCACAGCCCACATCCTGCTCCAGATCCTCCTATTACTGACCAGAGGAGAACCAGAAGAGCAGACAGAAGAGCAGAGCCACAGGAGGAGAGCCACAGAGGAGAGCCACAGGAGGAGAGCCACAGGAGGAGAGCCACAGGAGGAGAGCCAGAGGAGCAGAGTCAGAGGAGCAGAGTCAGAGGAGGAGAGTCAGAGGAGGAGAGTCAGAGGAGGAGAGTCAGAGGAGGGGAGCCAGAGGAGGAGAGTCAGAGGAGCAGAGCCAGAGGAGTAGACAAGAGTAGACAGAAGCAGAGCCAGAGGAGGAGAGCTAGAGGAGAAGAGCCTGAAGAGCAGAGCCAGAGGAGCAGAGCCAGAGGAGGAGAGTCAGAAGAGCAGAGCCAGAGGAACAGAGCCAGAGGAGCAGAGCCAGAGGAGGAGAGTCAGAAGAGCAGAGTCAGAAGAGCAGAGCCAGAGGAACAGAGCCAGAGGAGGAGAGCCAGAGGAGTAGAGCCACAGGAGGAGAGCCACAGGAGGAGAGCCACAGGAGGAGAGCCAGAGGAGGAGAGCCAGAGGAGCAGAGTCAGAGGAGGAGAGTCAGAGGAGCAGAGCCACAGGAGGAGAGCCAGAAGTAGAGCCAGAGGAGGAGAGCCAGAGGAGCAGAGCCAGAGGATTGGTTCATTGTTCTTTCTTGCTTTTAGTTTTTGACAAAGGACTCATGTATCTTTAGTTGTCTTTAGTGGAAAGTCTATGGAGCCAACAGTAACAGGAGCCACAGTCCCATCCCCCACCTCTCTCTCTCTCCTCTCTCTCTCTCTCTCTCTCTCTCTCTCTCCTCTCCTCCTCTGCTTTGTCCCCCTCTCCTCCCTCTCTACGTTCTCTCTCCTCTTTTTCTATAGTAATAATAGGTTTTCCACACACAGTAGTAAGTCTATATATTGTGCCAAAGAGCTGAAGACGAGAGGACAATGCTGCTTTAAACGTGAACTGTTCAGTAATTACCACTGTGAGGAGATTAGACCAGAGGCACTAAAGAAACAACACAACAAAAAGTCTAATGGGCAAACTTGAACCACTGTTACATTATACAGTTTATAATTAGAAATCTATTTTATTCCACCTTAACAACTTGTAACTTTTAACTTCAAGAAGGTTTAAAATCCGAAATAATGAGTAAGTTATCGCTATTTATTTAAACCATGTTATAATGATGTTTACTCATGTCTGAAGCAGTTTAATGTCTGAGTAATATAGCAATCTCCCCACGTATTGTGATAGCACTCTGAAGGGGAAGTGACTTAGCACGGGGAGCAAAAACAGAGCATCAAAAACAAAAGTGAGATTTATTAAACAACTTATTAACATTTTCAGCAAGTAGCATTTTCAAAACAATAAAATGTAACACAGTGATTGAAATATGTTAAGTGTTGGCAGATTAAATCCCAAAGAAGTTAAATATCCACCCACCTTCCAACTTTAAAATAGAATGTAAACAAACAACTACTAAACCTTAAAGCCAGTGCTAAAAAAGTCCACTGTTCATCCCAAGTACAAGTGTTACAAACTCTTGATACCAAAAAGAGTAAAAGGTTCTAACAATGTGATTTTGTGAAATGACAAAAACTCCACAGACAAGGTGTGTTTTGCTCAAGGACACAACACCAGCCACGACTACTTTAAATACATTTACTCTCGTAGTATGATCAACTAATCATCATGAATACAGACATTTGGCAAAAAAAAGAAAATATGCTCTCTTTTTTTTTTTTTGCCACTTCTTTGTATTTTTTTTTTTAAGTATTTTGCAGAGATTTTAAGAACAATTAAAGAATGAAATGTGATTTTGATAAAGAATTTTAGCTGATTTTAAATGATTCAAGTGATTTCCTAAATAAAAAAATAAAATAAAATAAAAATAATAAATAAATATGCTCTTTTAAAGGTGCAACTTTTCTGGTAGCCTGATTGATCAGCCGGTTTCACTTCGTACAAACCGTCTGACTTCGCAGCGTTTTTGTTTGCTCGACAGTAGGTGGGTACTTTTTTTTATTTAACCAATCACTGCCAACCAACCAGTCGTGACATATAGAATGCGCCGCTAATGGGGCAAACTGGTATATTAAGCTTTTCCCAAATCCTGTAGGAAGAAGGACAATAACGTCTTTCCCCTTGATGAAATTCACCAAACATTCTCTTTATTCCGGCTTTACATCCTCAATCTTAGGAATCGTTGCCAACACAGAATGTCTGGCTCTTCACTGATTGGCTGGTGCCCAAACTTGCACTTCCGGGGTTTTTGGCGAACCTTCTAGTGTATTCTGATTCCCGACCTAGTAGGTGGAGAGAAATGAAATTGCGCGGAGGCACTAGATGGCACCAGCCTGGCTAACTGATCTCATCATTCACTCAATCATGGTGACACACTTTTGTAGTCAGAGCTGTCCTGGGGCAGACTGACAAAAGCTGCCCATCTGCTCCTCTGACCACCACTCACACTCACACATCATATTCACACAGAGCCAAGTGTCTTGCACAAGGACACAAAACACACGTTACAGCTGTGAATCTTCAGAAATGTGTGAAGTGCTCAAAACCACTGAGCCACTGCTGTCTGAGTTTAGTCCTGGTATAGTTCAGGTTTAGTCTTGGTTTAGCCCTGGTTCAATCCTGTTTTTTAGTCCTAGTTTAGTCCTGGTTTAGTCTTGGTTTAGTCCTGGTTTAGTAATCGTTCAGAACAGAATTAATACTGAAAATCAATACTGATTCAGTCCTTGTTCAGTACTGGTTTAGTCCTGGTTTAGTCCTAGAGAGAAATGAAATTGAACGAAGGCACTAGGTGGCAGTGGACTGGCTACTTTTCTGGTTGGGGGTCCACTAGATGCTTATTGTTCTATAAATGAGATGAAACAATTATTTTGGGGGAGTTAATATCTATAATGGACATTTATATTTGTACTAGTGTGGAACTTTTAGTTATTTTTTGTACTGTAATATGATTTGAGGTGGAGAGGGTTGAATAAATGATCCATTAGATAGATACAAACCAAGTGCAGCTCATGCTTTAGACATTGTACATTTATAATAGGAATAGAAAAAATATTACTTGAACCAACAATGAATTCCAATAGAACCAGCAGTAGCATGTTTTAGAATTGATAATAGCCTCTAATGAATATGTTGTACTGTGTTGAAACAGCCTTTCACTACTGGGACAGTTCTTTGTACAATGCCCCAGAGAGCGCTGTGATCGCTACGCACGTAGTTCCCACAGCTGACCAGGGCGTGGGGCAGATAGATTCCCTTTTAGATTACATTTATTTATTTTTGTTCCATTGAAGCAGCAGCGGGAGCCTCGACCGATCAGCGGGACGTGGGAGGACCTGTTCGCCCCGTGACGCACTCTGCAGAGCGGCTGTGGGCGGCGCCATGGCCCGCCGAACGTCACCGCAACACCGGAGCCTCATTGGCCGGGGGGAAAGCTTTGGGTTGGGCATCTGAAGTGAGGATCACGACTGGGAGAAAAACACTACAGAAAATATACAGCACGGGCAAGAAAAAAACTCCACAAACGACTATTTACCACGGAGGAGAGGAGACGCGGATGAGAGCGGAGACTGGAGTCGTTTTTGCCCGATGTCGTGAGCGGGAACGCGGGAGGAGTAGCGCAGGATTACCGGGGGGAGAAGCAGCGGTCGGATTACACTGAAAAGGGAAAACAGCGGTCCAGAGGGGATGAGGTGACCGCCACGAAGCCTCGGGAATACGGGATAGAGTTGTGCGTAAAGACGGAGAAAGGACGTTTTTACGCAGCGCTCTTGGATCTATTTCAAATGTTGTCGTGGTGATAACTGATGTTTTTACGCATTGGGGAGCTGTCAGATGATAGTTTCACCCTTCTAAAAAATACGAGACCGATTTGAGTTGAGCCCAAACCAACCACCAGTCTGCTGCCACCGACCGCTCCAGTCCGAAAAAGTCCGAGTGCGGTTCGTCGTTTTCCGGAGAGGAGCGGTGGATTGAGCCGATGCCAACGGCAGATTGCAGGTTGCTCCATCATGGCCGGGTCATGAGGTGTCTAACCTGCCTCCTATTTTTACCAGAAACCCTCAAAAAGTCGCTGAAAATCGGTACGCTCCCAGGCAGGCTCCCGCTATGTTCTGAGCTCCTGACTCTCTCACTCAGCCTCAAAAATAAGAAGAAAAAACAGGCGCAGGAAAAGAAGATGGCTGCAGAGTTGTACCCCGCGAACGTGAACGGCACCGCGGGCCTCCAGAGCGGGACCACGGTGGCGGACACGGAGAAGCCCAAAGAGGTGCAGGTTTGCCAGGCGAGCAGCAGCACCAGCGCCGCAACCACCCCGACCTCCAACCAGCAAAACATCACCAACAACAACACGGTGGAGCCGGCCAGCTGGCAATGCAGCCACCCCACGCTCCGAGAAAGGTAAACAGCGGGCAAACTTTGCATTTTTACGCACGAAAACACGACAAATACGCGTACAAACGACATTAGAGCGCAGATGGGTTATTGCAATGACATGACAACGTAATGTATTCACGATAGCGCACTCCAAAAGGACACTGCGTTCGTTCCAGCAGTCCGCATCCTTTTTACACCGTGAGAAAGCAAAACAGTGTGCGTAAATGTGCTTTTAACTTTTGAATTCGTAACCAGATAGTTCTCAAAATGACCTTACTGCGCGGCTTGGTTTGTAATCGGAGACTGCAGCGTTGAGTTTCGCTGTTACCTACTCCAACGAGGAGCTACGTGCAACACAAGCAGTTTGCAGCCGCCACCAGTCGCTGCAACAGGGACCAGACGCCAAAACGAATGATGCATGTTCTTAAAATCGCGTAAAGGCTGACTCAAAACGTAATATACATTTACCCCCCGTCAATAACACGATGCGTCAGTGGAATTCATAGGTTATAGCGTATTCTTTAAAGGACACAGCGTTCATTGCGTGTTTGCTCCCTACTCAAAGTCAAACTAAAGTAAACATTGCACAAACGTGAGAATTTCCACTCAAAGCGCTTCAAGAATGTCATTATAATGCAGTTGGGTGTAACTTGAAACAATTGCGTATTGAATTACACACAGAATTCACCTTTATCACGTCAAAAGATATGACTTGCACTATAATCAGTCTTGACTCTAGTATGTCTTGAATTTGTGCTCAAAACTATCAGTAAATAACTACGGCGTCAGATTAGTGTCAGAAAATGTAAAATTGTTCCAAAGTTGGTCACGGTTACGCGCAGGGACAGTGCAGTGGCTATAGCGCAATGTGAAAGGACAAGACGTACGCTGCTAAAAGCTCCCACCCTCCTCGTGCTCTGGCAGAGGTAAACACACAACAAAGTGAAATTTGGCTGCAAAAAGTAGCTCCAAAACGGTGTCATATTACAGCTGGAATCATATGACAAAGAAGGGACATTAGTACACTTTTTGTTATCACTCAATTGTCCCTTTATACAGGTTTTGGTCCTGATGTTGGCATGGTTTAGTCCTGGCTTAGTACAAGTTTAGTCCTGTTATAGTCCCGGTTTGTTGATTGTTTTAAAACAAGGTTTATTCCAAGTTTAGACTTGTTTAGACCTGGGTTAGATTTATTAAAAAGCTCCTAGAGTTGGATTAGTGCATTTATTAACGACTTGATCCTGGTTTAAGAATGATTTTGAGTGGGTTCAAGTCCTGGTTTAGACCTTAGTCCTACTTTAGTCCCGCTTTGGTCCTGTTTTGATCCTGGTTTGGGTCTGTATTGGTGGTCCTGTTGTGGTCCTGTTTTGGTCCTGCTTTAGTCTCTGCTTTGGTCTTGGTTCAGTCCTACTTTTAGTCCTGTTTTGGTCCTGGTTTAGTCTCTGCTTTGGTCCTGGTTCAGTCCTACTTTTAGTCCTGTTTTGGTCCTGGTTTAGTCTCTGCTTTGGTCCTGGTTCAGTCCTACTTTTAGTCTTGTTTTGGTCCTGGTTTAGTCTCTGCTTTGGTCCTGGTTCAGTCCTACTTTTAGTCCTGTTTTGGTCCTGGTTTAGTCTCTGCTTTGGTCTTGGTTCAGTCCTACTTTACTCCTGTTTCAGTCCCTGCTTCAGTCTTTGTTATGTAATGTGAATAAAGTGCATATTCAAATGAGGACGTGCATTTAACCTCTGTAATCTGCAGCTACAGTGAGTTTTTCCCTTGAGTTTCTCAAAGTCACCTTGTATAAGCACTAACCAGGTCTACATCAGGACTAAACCAGGCCCAAACCAGGTTTACATCAAGATTAAACCAGGCCCAAACCAGGTCTACATCAGCACTAAACCAGGACTAAACCAGGTTTACATCAAGATTAAACCAGGCCCAAACCAGGTCTACATCAGGACTAAACCAGGACTAAACCAGGTTTACATCAAGATTAAACCAGGCCCAAACCAGGTCTACATCAGGACTAAACCAGGATTAAACCAGGCCCAAATTAAGTCTACATCTGGACTAAAACAGTACCAAACCAGGACTACACCAGAACTGAACCAAATCTACATATAGCAAGACCAAACCAGGACTAAATCAGGACCAATCAAAGTCTATATTAGACTAAATCAGGACAATACCAGGACTACATCCGAACCCTACCAAGACTAAACCAAGTCGACGTTGAGAGTAAACCAGGTCTACAGCAGGAACAAACCAGGACTGAACCAGGACTGAACCAGGACTGAACCAGGACTGAACCAGGACTACTCCAGGACTAAACTAGAACTAAACTAGAACCAAACAAGGACCAAACAAGGACCAAACCAGGACTACACCAGGATTACATCAGGACCAAACCAGAACCAAACCAGGACTAGAGCAGAAGCAGCCTACAGCTACTCTCCATCATAAAGGAGGGGGCCTCACAGAAAACACACGGGACATTTACATTTCCTCTCCTCTTTCACATTTAAACACTCGTGGATTTGGGCGACAGACTTCGAGACATTATTTTTATGTAAATCACCTCAAACATGACTCAGGATGTAAACAGGACACACGAACTGAACAACTCCTCTCACTAAAACCTTATTTAAAAGAGCCGCTTCATTTGAGGCACACTTAAATTCACTTAAAGATTCATTATGTAACTTTTCTAGAGGAAAGTCAGCTGTGGAGATGTCTTTACTTTGCCTGCGATGTTCCACAGTATGGCATTAAATGATTCTTATTTGTTCTAGCTTTTTTGTTTTTTTCTCCAATAAAATGTGTTATTATTAAAGCGTCTGGCTCGCCTCTCCAAAGATTTGACCAGTAACTTCGTCTATTGGCATCACCTGCTTGTCTCTGTAGAGTTGGACACTTTTAATGCCCTACTGAGGAACATTCCGGGATAAGCAATGACATCTCCATGGAGACAAGAGATCAACCGTGTTTTAAATTTTTATTTTATGGCCAATGCAGATAACAATTGTTTAGAATCCAGAGCAACCGATAACTGCCAATATTTCTGGAATGATGTAGAGACAGTTTTGATTATTTTCCTCAAATTATGTCATTTAAATTTACTTCAAACTCACTCACATCATCTCTTTTTAATCGCAAACTTTTAAAAGAGCTGTGTAGTCATGTTTTGTGCTTCGTATTAAAGTGTTAAATAAAACTTTGTGAATATTTTTTGGGCAGCAGATCAACAAACTAAAAACAAACTTATCGACCTGTATTGATCTTTCTCTGATGGAGACTAGAAAGTTACAGAGTACTGCTTTAACTTGAACTTCATGTACAAGTATGTTAATTTAAAGACAATACAAATGTAAAGTAAAGTGTATTTACGTTGTTGACATGTTTCACCGGTGACAGTTCTGAATTTGGCTTGCAGCAGCAGCCGAAACATGTCAACAAGGTAAATACACTTTACTTTCCACTTGTATTGTCTTTAAGTTAAAATACTTGTACATGAAGTTCAAGTTAAAGCAGCTCTTTGTGACTTTCTGGAGAACTTAAAGAAGTTAAAGTACATAAGAAGACAAAATGAACATCTTTGGCCAAATGAATGAAAATCTGTTTACTGGCACCTGCTCGTCTCCATGGTGATATTATTGCTGCGTCTGTCGTGTCGTCTGTTTTGATATTTTTCTGTAGCCGTATTTCGCACTTTCAAGTTTTGTTTTCGTGACAGGACTAGTTATTGCTTTGCCTGGAATGTTCGTCAGTATGGCATTAAAGTTCACTGCCTCCACGGAGACAATCAGGCTGAGTTACAGTTACAGTTACAGCCTTGAGGAAAATGCATGTTAAGTAAAATACCGTGAAACAATCCAAACAGCGCAATACATCTCCATGGAAACAAGAAGGTGACAGACCAGACTCCACCAGAAAAGTTCCACAGCGCGTCTTTCCGTTGAAATCTTGCGTCGCCATGGTTACGTACGGCGCAGCGATGTTACATAAACCGATATCTGCCTTTGTTGAACCTAAATGTGAATATTTTCCCAAATGTTGAAAATAGCTCATGTCTCTAGGCAGAAGGAGGGAGTAGGAGTCCTGGTTATGCAACACTAATTCTCTCCATCTCTCTCTCTCCCTCTTCTCCTCTCCTCTTTTTTCCTCACTTTCTCTGTGGATCTCCCCTTTTTTTTTTCTCAAACTGTTCCCCGATTTTCTTTCCTCTCTCCATCTCTTTGGGTCCTTTTTTCCTCTCACTGTCTGTCTGTCTCTCTACACTCTCATCTTTCTCTCTCCTCCTCCTCTTTTTCTCCCCTCTTTTAACTGTCACATCCTCTCTCTATGCTCTTTCTCTCTCCCCGTCTCATCTTTCTCTTGTTCTTTTTAAACTCCCTCCTTGTTTCTCTCTTTTCCCTTGTCTTGTTCCTCTTCTCTCTCCTTCTCTCCACCTCTCTCCTCCTTCTCTCCATCCACAGAAATGCCCTGATGTTTAACAATGAGCTGATGGCGGACGTGCACTTCATAGTTGGTCCACCGGGGGAGTCGCAGAAGGTCCCTGCCCACAAGGTAACACCAGAGTCGGGTTTGGGGAGACGGGAGAGGGGGGTGAGCCTGGAGGAGTTTGTACAATTATTATGCAAGGATTTAAATGTGAGCTTTTCTCATTCTGCTCAAGTTTGTCGCTATTATTCTGTCTCCTTTTCAAGTTTAAAGCCATATTGTGAAACTTTTTAGGGACAAGCAGGACAAATTGTACTTTAAAGATGCACTCAAGCAGGATAAGTTTGTACAATAATTATACAAGGATTTAAAAGTTCAGGAGATGGTGCCGAAGAAAGAAAATTTAGATTGTAATTATTAGGGACACCACAAGATCTGGTGAGACAAAATTCCTACAAAATCATGCAGACGTAAAAAAAAATCCGTGAAATTTTTTAGTTAAGTAGCCCTTTTTTTTTTGGATTGGTCAAAAAAAGGATTACTTATTAGTGAGTTACATCTCATAGTTCCAAAAAGCAATACTAGAACGGAAATAAAAATATAATATCAAATAAAAAATGTGGAGCCAAAATTGTAAACTGAATTGCAAGATTTATATATTAGGAATTCTGTTAAAATCTCTCTTTGTCTCGTTCTCATGGACCCAGTCTCAGATCTTGTCTCGTCTTGTGGAAATTGTGTCTCGTCCTATTCATTATGCACAGAAATTGATAGTACTGAGTTATATTTAGCTTTTTAAATATATCCTTTTAATAAAACAGAGTACTTTTCAGACCCCATAATTACTTCTACCCGAGTAATATGTAGTACAGTGTAACAGTTCTCTTCTTACTTGAATAAAAGTTGTGCTTCATCTTCCTGAGTCTTAAGTGACAAAAGTTTTATGTGACAATATGAAATTATTTGAACATTTGTGTTTCTTGCAGCTCCTTCAGATACAATTTAGTTTGACCTTTGAAAATATCAGATTCTGTGCATTATTTAATGTTCTGTCCTTCCAAATACTTTCACTTATTAATATAATATTATAAATCAGTTATGATAGTCACTCTTGAGTAGTATTGTTTCTAAATACTTTTTTTTACTCTCACTTGAGTCATGTCTTGGACCACTACTTTGTTCTTCTACGTGAGTGATATAATTTTTGAAGCAGTAGCACTTTTACTTGAGAACAACATTTCTCTACTCCAAGTTAGACTAAACAATTATAATCAGTGTTTGTTAGTAGAGCTGCAAGATTAATCAAAACTGAAATCACAATTTGAATGGACACAATTTGCAAATCACAAAGACTACAGTTTTTGAAGTCTCATAATTTCCTCCACAAACAGCCAGCTCTCCTGTCTTAATCTGCATAAATACAGCGAACCCTGTAGTTTAGATCTGTACAAACATGTTCTGAAATGTGATTCTCTGTTTATATTATGTTTCTGTTTTGTTTGTGTTTGTGAAATGATCTTAAATCTTGTTTTTGATTGTGTGTCTTCAGTACGTGTTGGCTGTGGGCAGCTCCGTGTTCTGTGCCATGTTCTACGGAGATTTGGCCGAGGAGGAGTCCGAGATCCAGATCCCAGACGTGGAACCTGCAGCTTTCCTCATTCTGCTCAAGTAAGTCACTATTTATGCGTTACGTTAATGTTTAATGTACCTTTCCAACAGAAAGTTGACTTTAAAACAGCATGGTTCATCAAACGTTATTGCGTTACTGATGTTATTGCTTTGTCTGAATGTTTCACAGTATGGCATTAAACCTTTCTATTTACATTGAGACCAAACCAGCCCAAGTTAGAGGTCAGATCTGTGGAGAGGCGATGCCGCTCACAGTCAGAATGCCTGTTTTTCTAGGTTTTTTGAGTTCTAAAACTAGCAGTAATTGAATAAATATAAGGTAAAGCTGTTTAACGTCATACTGTGGAACATTGGAAGCCGGGCAATGACACCTCCATAGAAACAAGCGAGGTACAGACCGCCAACAAAAAAGTTACATAGTGCAGCTTTAGGTTAGATAACACTCATACACTGACTACCCTTCTCATTTAATTGAACAAAACTACTATTCGAGCTCTTCTCTCTCCCCAAATACTACTACCGTATTTTCCGGTCTATTAGACGCGCTCTTAATCCTCCAACCCCATCAAAAAACGACTGTGCGTCCCACAATCCAGAGCGCCTTATACACAAATCCACTCGGGTGTCCCAGCACGACTTCAGTAAACTACAAAGCCACACCACCCACAGAACACACAAACACACACGGAGCAGACAGCGACCACACAGTGAAACACACCCACAGACACACTCATCACTCCACGCCAACGAGGAACGGAACAGAGGAACGAACCGAAAAAGCGAGTGCAATGTGCCACTTCTAGACACAACTGAACAACTGAGTCACTGCGAACACGCGACAATCCGTTGGTCCCAGACACACCCTCCCTACACGCCACAACTGAACAAAGCCCAGAGTCACCGTGAACGAACAAACAAACAAAACCACTCACCCATCACACTGTTGGGTTTCCTTTAAAGTCTGGTGCGGTTTATTTGTGAAAAAAGTTCGAAAATAGACAGTGCGCATTATAATCCAGAGCGCCTAATAGTGCGAAAAATACAGTACTAACAATTCTGCTGCATCTAACACTTAAACTAGTATACTGTAAATAAATGTAAGTTTTGTCTCATTGTTCAAAATTACAAAATGCATTTCTACAGACTCACCTAAGCACATTTGAACATTTGTAGGAACTGTATGTATCCTGTCACATCTGAACTTGTGTCTCCAGAGCTTTCACCTGCAGACAGACACACATCCACGTTTGTCTAATTCTCAGTTTATGTTCAGGCCTCATGTGAAAGAAGCTCAGAACTTCCAGTATCCCCTCCCTGAGCTGCACAGGCTGCACTAGCACTGACTCATGATTGGTGCAGTTTCTGGGGTTTAGGTAAAGACCGTTCAGATCAGAGAGAGGCATTTGAGCTTTAAACACGCTGGATTTCTGAGAGACTCGTGTGCGGCTCATTCTGCTTTCTGATTGGATAATCGTCTCGAACCAAAACACCAAATTAGGATGTAAACATTTTGGCTGGCGACATGTCCAGTGTTTTTGTAACTAAGAATAAGTCAGCATTAAAATGGTTCAATCAATAAGAGCAGGTTGGTCAAGTTTATGAAATTTAAAATCAAAATCTTAATACAGTTCCTTTAAACCTCCAAATGTATACCCCCGTCTTTCTCTCCTCTCCTCCCTCTCCGTCCTCTCTCCATCTCTCCCTTTATTCTCTTCCCTCTATCCCCGTCTCGTCTTCTCCCTCCCTCTTTCTGTAACTTCAAAGTAAATTATCATAGAATTACCAGCCCTTCTCTTCTTCCCTCCATCTTCTTCCCTCTTTCCTTCTGTAACATTATCACAGAATTCACACCTTTTTTCATTCTCTCTGTCTCTTTCTCTCTCTCTCCATCCATCCTCTCTCTTCCCTCTATTCATTCTCTCTCCCTCCATCCTCTCTCCTCCATTTCTCCTCCCTCTCTCCCTTCTTCTGTAACTTCAAAGTGTATTATCATGACTCATTTGAAACCGAGTAAAGCCCAGATGTCTGTGCGTGTCTGTAATTACGGCTCGGGCTCTGCTCTTTGTTCACCCCTCTCCCCCCTCAGAGCCTCTCCGCGCTTTCAACTTAACTAAAAATAACTTAACTCCGGCGACTTTGTTGTGGTTGGAAAACGACTCTCTCAACTTCAGAAACTTTGTTAGTTTTTATGGGACTTCAAGACTTCAAATGTTCAAAATGGGGGGTTTCTAGGTCTAGTAAACGCTCGTTCAGTATTAGAAAGACAGAAAAGTAATTAAGATGGACAAGATAAAGTGAAGTGGTCTGTTTAAAACTGCTCTTAAGCTGTTGACAGACTCGTAACAGGAATGCACTACGCCTATGGGAAACATCCAAGCAATTATCCTGTATTTACTGAGATTCTGGAGATTGGGGAAGCAGAAGTAGACGGACTAAACCACGTGTTAAAAGTATTGCAATTACATTTGTGATTTATGTTTATAATTAGTCACGTTGTTTATAATTCAGGAGTAAAGACGTTTGAGAGAAGACTGAAATCTGAAATCTGAACATCACACTAAGCCGAGAATCCCGTGTATTTCAGAACATGTTTGTAGAGCCCTAAACTACAGATTTAGCAGCTTTTACGCAAAATAAAACATCGTGAAGACACAGGCAGGGCATCTGACGCAAAGGGACATTTCAGAACATGTTTGTGGAGCTTTAAACTACAGAGTTGGCAGTTTTTTTTATGTACAATGAGACAGGAGGTTTTGTTGTTTGTGGAGGAAATTATAGTACAGTTTGTTTCTGTGATTTGCCAGTTGCGTTTGTTCAAATTTCAGTTTTAATTTCATGTTCCTAAATTAAGGCCTTAAAAAGTCTTAAATTCTGTTGTCCAAGTCTTATTTTTTTCACAAAGGTCTTAAATTTCATTAGCCTATTTTTTGTTTGCTCAACTGGGCTGGAGTGCAAAGTCAAATGGAGGGAGGAAAAAAAAACAAATGAAATCATGAAACGTAAATTAATGTCCAATTTGGAGCATGCGCAAACAATACTTTGTTTTCTGGCGCTGGCAGGAATGATTAAACCATCAGTAGAGTGGAGGAAGACGTTGAATGGATCATGGGGAAGTGTAGGTTTAGTCCACAGTGGCTCTTAAATTCTAGATGTAGTACCGTAGTTGGTTGGTCATTTATTAGAATTGGATCTGGTGTTTTTCGCCCACATAATAGGTGTGATGTTGGTCTTAATTTTCATTAAAGTGGTCTTAAAAAGTTTTAAATTTGGGGTGGTCAAACCTGTGGATACCCTGCACGATCAGACTGAGTTTTAAAACAAAGCTCAGGTTAAAGTCTAAGAGAACTTCAGACAGATCAGTGCCCACAGTTAGCAACACACCCCCAGAGAGAATGTTGACAGCTGCAAATTATCAACTGTATGAAAAGTCACTAGGGATGTAACAATATCCAAATCTCTCAGTACGATATTATTACGATACGCATCTCACGGTCTGATTCATGTAAAAAACATATTTCTTCATGTTGCACTGAAATGAATCATGGGATATGTACTGTATTTTCTGCACTATTAGTCGCTCTGGATTATAATTATCATTAAATGGTCTATTTTTGAACTTTTTTCACAAATAAACCGTGTGGGACTTTAAAGGAAACCCAACAGTGTGATGGGTGAGTGGTTTTGTTTGTTTGTTCGTTCACAGTGACTCTGGGCTTTGTTCAGTTGTGGCGTGTAGGGAGGGTGTGTCTGGGACCAACGGATTGTCGGCGTGTTCGCAGTGACTCAGTTGTTCAGTTGTGTCTAGAAGTGGCACGTTGCACTCGCTTTTTCGGTTCTTTCCTCCGTTCTGTTCCTCGTCGGTGTGGAGTGATGAGTGTGTCTGTGGGTGTGTTTCGCTGTGTGGTCGCTGTCTGCTCCGTGTGTGTTTGTGTGTTCTGTGGGTGGTGTGGCTTTGTAGTTTACTGAAGTCGTGCTGGGACACCCGAGTGGATTTGTGTATTGGGCGCTTTGGATTGTGGGGCGCAGTCGTTTTTTGAAGGGGTTGGAGGCGTAAGAGTGCGCCCTATAGTGTGGAAAATACAGTAGTTCCCTAAGTTAATAGGCTGTTACTACTATAAAACCATGTATTTAAGCAAAGGAACTTGTAATTCAATATATTGTGACAGCTCACGATATTATATGAAACGATATCATGATATTTCAGTTATTGTTACATCCCTAAAACTAACCATTCATACAATGTCCTGTCATTCTAACACTTATTTTTTTTCTGTTTCTCTCAGGTACCTGTACAGTGACGAGATCGACCTGGAGGCTGACACAGTTCTGGCGACTCTTTACGCTGCTAAAAAGTACATCGTCCCTGCGTTGGCGAAGGCCTGCGTCACGTTTTTGGAGACGAGTCTGGAAGCAAAAAACGCGTGTGTCCTCCTCTCCCAAAGCCGCCTTTTCGAGGAACCCGAGCTGACGCAGAGATGCTGGGAGGTGATCGACGCTCAGGCAGAACTGGCCCTTTGCTCCGAGGGATTCTGCGAAATTGACCTGCAGACTTTGGAAATTATCCTGCAACGCGAAACTCTGAACGCTAAAGAAGTGGTGATTTTTGACGCGGTTTTGAACTGGGCAAGCGCTGAATGTAAAAGACAAGGTTTGGGGCCTACCATTCGAAACAGGAGAGAGGTGCTCGGGAAAGCGTTGTTTCTGGTTCGAATCCCGACTATGACGCTAGAGGAGTTTGCAAACGGAGCAGCCCAGTCTGATATTTTAACGTTAGAAGAGACGCACAATGTTTTTTTGTGGTTCACCGCCGCTAAAAAACCACAGCTGGACTTCCCGTTGACGCCCAGAAAAGGGTTGGCGCCGCAAAGATGTCACCGCTTTCAGTCTTCGGCGTATCGTAGCAACCAGTGGCGTTACCGCGGGAGATGTGACAGCATTCAGTTCGCCGTGGACAAGCGGATTTTCATCGCCGGGCTGGGGCTGTACGGGTCGAGCGGCGGGAAAGCAGAGTACAGCGTTAAGATCGAACTGAAGCGCCAAGGGATCATCCTGGCGCAAAATCTCACCAAATTCGTTTCGGATGGATCTAGCAGTACTTTCCCGGTTTGGTTTGAGAATCCCGTACAAGTCGAGCAAGACACTTTCTACACGGTGAGCGCGGTGCTGGACGGGAGCGAGCTGAGCTACTTCGGTCAAGAGGGAATGACCGAAGTCCAGTGCGGAAAAGTGACGTTCCAGTTCCAGTGTTCTTCGGACAGCACCAACGGGACTGGCGTGCAGGGAGGACAGATACCAGAGCTAATATTTTACTCCTGAATTCTCAAAAAAAAATAAAAATACTGAGAATAATTGTAAAACTGTAAAAGCCTTTAAAGGTGCATTGTGGAACTTTTGTGGTGGAGGGTTCGTCAAACACTTTTCTCCACTGACATCTTAATACTTTGTCTGGAAAGTTTCACAGTGTGGTTTTAAACCTTTCTATCATCATGGAGACCAAACCAGACCAAGCTGCAGGTCAGATCTGTGGAGAGGCGACCCCACTCACAGTCAGAATGTCTGTTTTTCTAGGTATTTTTAAGCTATAAAACCACCTGTAATCGATTAAACATAAGGTAGATCCGTTTAATGTCACACTGTGGAATATTCCAGGCAGAGCAAAGACGTATCCATAGAAACAAACAGGTGACGGACCCCCAACCGAAAAGTTACACAGTGCAGCTTTAATGAAATGTAGCAAACTAAAGCTGCGATCACATAAAAGTACTTCCATTTTTGAAAACTTGTGCCGGATGCCCTCCCCTCATCTTATATCCATGCGTTAAACTGCCCTCGCGTTCTCGTATATGCCTGTGTGTGTCAGATGCCCTCCCAGTAGATAAAGTCCACAGTTGCTTGAAATTAGATGGACAAACCTGAATGTGCCTGATTTTGACGTTTAAAAGTAATATAAACGAATTTCATTTGTACGCGATATTTATGACTGTGCCTAAATGTAATGTAATGTAAAAGCATAGCAAAAAATAATATAAATAATAATTATACTTTAAATTAACACAGCGATACTGCATCACATGTGACCTACTAACACCTATTGAAAACTGCAATGTTTAAAGAGGGGGTATTAACTTCTAACACGTCATATATTTCGATCACCATGTTACCTTTTATTGTTTTGAAAATGCTATATTCACAAAAGCAGCATATTAACATGTTTTATAAGCTTCACTTTCACTTTGGACGCCGAGTTTCACTTCCCATTGCTCCCTGCGCCAAGTCACTCCCCCTTCAGAGCGCTGTCACAACACAACTACTGCACATCGTATGAAACTACTGCATGGATGATATCGAAAACCTCTTCAGGCATGTTTTTGGTTACGGAACAACATTATAACAAGCTAAAAAACATTATAACAAGCTAAAAAAAAAAGAAGCATAATACCTAGGGATGGGACAAGATCTCGTGCCTCAAGATCTCGCAAGACAAAATTGCTACAGGATTGTGCACACATGAGAAAAATGATCTCGTGAGATTATTTTTGATTTGAGAAGCTGTAGTTCCAAGAAGCAGTACTACAATGACCACTAAGGTATAAAATATATAAGAAATAGTGTCAAAATTGTGAAATGAATTGCACTACTTATTACAAATGATGCCAAAATCTCATCGTCTCGTTCTCGTGGTCTGTTTCGTTTCTTGAAAATTGTGTCTCGTCCCACCCCTAACAATACCCCCTCTTTAATGATTATTATATTTTAGTTTGTCTTATTATGGGTGAGGCTTTGTAAAGATTTGTTAATTTATTTTTTAATCAGTAAATATTTAATTGTTTTAGAATATTTTTAGTTTTAATTTAAATCTATTTTTTACTTGTAGTTATTAAATCTAATTTATACTTCTGTTCTTTTCTGTTATTTATACAAGACATTTCTAATTGATTGATTGCAAAATAGTCTTAAAATTATGAAAATCAGCCAGTATATTTACATTTATGTCCTCTTTTGTCCATGTGTCTGCGTAATTGACTATTTTTATCATTTAAAACATTGCATTAAAGGTGTTGTACCTGATTTTTACTGTCTTAAAAACATGAAAAATAGAACAGTTTGCAGTGGTCCAAAGTTATTCCTCACTTACCTTACGCATTCTGAGCATTTGCCAACACAGTACAGCTAACCTCAACTAGCATGCAAACCTGCACTTCCTGATTACTGGATAATAAAACATTTTATAATTAGATGCTGATAATGCACAGCTGGATTATTTTGATCTTAAATAGCACGTATTAGTTTTCTCTCAAACTGAAAATGCCCCGTTCCACTTTGTGATGTGATGTGGTAGTACAGGAAGTGCTCCACTGTGTTTTTAAACTCCATACACCTTCACTAGAATCATTTGCATAATTTCAGACCTGGAATTGCCGATCTCTACTGAACTATGAGTAAAAGTTGGTGGCATTTTGAGCTTTGGAGCTGTAGACAGACTAATAATAAAGAGTTACTCAAATGTGTGAATGAAACAACCCAACTCCAGGTCTGTTTTTGATGAAGTAACAGCATTAGAACATGACTAAAAGCTCACAAGAGTCTATTATAATATATTAATGGAGCTTTAAGAGCAGCTTATACAACACATCTGTACTGGAGCGAGACCAACTCCACTCAGATACATGAAAAACAGAACAGGTACAGGCCTTTTAATATTACAATAATGCAAGAAAACATTTATCTTGCAAATTTTGAATGTATATTAAATGTTGAAACTTTTAAAAATATATCATTTGAAAAATGGGAATCCTTTTGTGTGATCGCAGCTAAAGACACTTGAGTCCACTGATCTGCCTGGATACACGCGAAGAAAGCATTAACTATTATTCTGTATTTATGTTTTATTTTATTTTATTTAAAACTAACATTATTTTTGGTTGCCTGTCGAGCTGTGGACCCTACGGAAGCAACGTTTCTGTAAAAAAAACTGTACAATTTAGTTCCATATATTGGTTTGTTGCTATGGTGATGCAGCTGGACTTTACTGTAGTGATATCATTCAAAGTAGTCTATTTTTTCTTGTTGTTTGCACTTCGGAGGATGGCCTAAACGAAATGTGTCTTTTGTAAAATATATTTGTGTGAAACGGCGCGATGCTGTTTGGAAATGTACAAGAAGCTTATCCAACATAAAGATATTATGTCATGAACTAAGTCTGGGTGTGTGCTGTTTCTTACAGGTGGGATAATAATGGGGTGCAGGGGGGTTAAGAGGGATTAAACAAATATTGTGTCTTGAAGTTCACAAAACGGCGCCATACAGAGGATTTAGCCCTGAGGTATTATGCATGAAAACAGACGCTTTTAATACCCCGATATTTTTCATCCTAACATGCTAGGAATGCTCCACTGAAAAGTTGTAAACATATCCATCTGCAAGGAGACCAGCAGGAGACCATGATCAGGTCAAATAACACATCAGATCTATGGAAAGGCAAGCACCCTCTAATAAACATGTTTTTCAAGGTATTTTTGAGCAATAAAAACACCTTAAATTGAATAAATGCAAATTAGTTTAATGCCATACTCTGGAACATGTGAGGGGAAGCACTAACATCTCCATGGATACAAGCAGGTGTCGTACCCAAATAAAGTAAGGCAATGTCACAAATGTGTCCTCAATCACTATACACTGTACAAAATAATAACTTATATAATAACTTGTTCCTCTTGGCTGCACTGGGGCAGAGCAAAGGATCATGGTCCATGTAGTTGTTGACAAAATAGGTGGAACTCTTCGAGATTAGAGTATAGACCAGGCAGTGTTGGGGTGTAACAGATTACATGTACCGGCATTATGTAATCAGAGTTATTGAAACAGTAACTGAATACAGTTACTCATAAGTGGTAATTGGATTACAGTTACTTTGTTGAAGTAAATGGATTACATGGTGGTATTTTCCTGTTTTCACATTTTGGACTAAACCAGGACTAAAACCAAGACTAAACTAGGACTAAACCAGGTTTAAAACCAGGACTAAACCAGGACTAAACTAGGTCTAAACAATATGGCACTAACAGTAGGTGGACATCATTTCAGGAAGCAGTGATCTCATATAAAAATCTTTTCTCTATCAATAATATTTTTAATACGGTTAAGTAAAGACTGGACTTTTTATCGTCTTTAAGCAGACTTATCTTATGTTAAGATTTCCTCGTCTTTGCTTCTCTACAGTAAACACTTGCCTGTTCATGGAGACTTGGGCTCAACAGCCAATTTGATGACAACTAAAGAGAATTTTCAGGATGTGGTTGCTACATTCATATAGTTTTAAAAAGCATGACAATATCAAGTAATCCAAAGTATTCAGATTATGTTACTCACTTTAAGTAATTTAATGGATTACGTTTCAAAGTACATTTTGGGGTATGTAATCTGTAATCTGTAGGGGAATACATTTTAAAAGTCACCTTCCCAACACTGAGACCAGGGGCCTCCAATCTTTTTCCTCCTGTGAGCTACTTTTTGTAAAACGAAAATGCCACAGAGCTACTCATTTTAGCGGTCGCCAGAAATGTTGTAAATATAAAAGCCATGGTGCGCCGAAGATGAGGTACAGTTAGAAGTCTATAAAACACAACCCTTTATCAAGTTTTCAGGGCATAAAATTACACATCAAAATTGTACAATTACAAAGGAAATAGGTATTTAATCAATCAAATCTGAGTTATTCAGCGCAATATGTATAATTCAGAAATCCCATGGCGAGCTACTTGGAAGAGGGTGGAGAGCGACTGGTAAATCCAGAGCTACAGACTGGAGATCCCTGACATAGACTATTAATGGACATAGTTAACCTGCTAGCCAACGAGTCCCAAACAGGAAGTGAGCATGGGGAAGCTTCTGGCTCCAAAGAACTGGAATATTATCTCCCCTCTTTCTGTAATTGCTGCTGTGAGCCTCATCATTTTTGGTCTTAAAATATTCGTATTAACTCACTCTACATGATCCTGGGGGTTTTATTCGACTATTTTGTAGATAAATAAATTCCTATTCCTGGCTCCAAATTTGCTCCTATAACTGCTGGCCTCATGAGCTTGTGTGGTGTGGAGCAAGAGCAGAACACACAATATCACACACGAGTTCAAAGCCCTGAGTTCACTCGTCTATGAAACAGTGAGTGTTACACATGAGTTACCTATGGCTGGAGCATTGATGCACAGTTCTCTGGCCAGAGTCAAGAAGGTTTTCCCGAGCACGTACACATTCACCTGAAACAAATACAACCATAGATTTAAAAACAAGACTAAATACTACATATCATTTCATCAAACTTTAAATAAGCATAATGACATGGAATTAATATATGACCCGTCACACTCTCATTCCATTTTTAACCTGGTCCCGGAAGGGTTGGCCAGGTTTTGTATTCACCCTGCGTGTGTGTGTCTGTCCACCTGCAATAATTCCGCCATTTATGGACCAACTGTCACCAAATTTGGTACATGGGTCAGGCCCCCGTGCCCGATGCCGCAAAAAAAGGTTTGGTGACGATCCGAGGTCATTTGAGGTCAGACGGGTCAATTGAAAAGTCATGCCATTATAAAAGATCTGCAATTTCTGACGCATCTGCAGGCTAAAATATTCCCCCAATCATCACACAAGTTGGCACACACATAACACTGGATGTTAGAGGTTGAAACCGGTCAAGGTAACCAAGGTCAAATGTGCGTTTTTGGTCAGAACTCCGTGAAGGATGGAGCTAGAGCAAAAGGAGTGTTATTATCTATTTATAATTCTATGCATTTGTATAGTCAAATATGAATATGAAATATGAATAGTTTTCCAGATAATCACAAATTCTAACAGTTCTTTTCTCTTTCAGTGTAGCCGTTAAAATTCTAATTGGAACAAAAATAATTTCCATTTCTTGTTTTTCTGGTGATACACGACACACTGATCTACAGTCACACAACTAACACACACACAACTCATGAAAAATGACATTTTGGTTCCACACTAGTAAACACAGACATTCTCATGTGTGACCAATATCACACTAATGTTCATGGGCCTGTACACATACACACATTACATTGTGGATATAATGATCATGTGATATGGGCTGGACTCCTCATAAACTGTTTCTGTGCCGATGAACTGACCCACTGACGCCTCACGGGGACCAGGTGGTTATGTCTGATTGTGCTTGTATTCTCTATCTCTACTTTTTACATTGTATATACACACAGAAGACAACAAATATATGAAACAAGATATATGGGATGATGTAGAAAAGAAAAAAAAAGTTAAATGACTACTAACTAACTAAATATTTGTTTATATTTTATAACCAAATCTTCAAAATTTTCTTTTTTCTTACTATTTTCTACATTCTATATATGTCCACTGGGAAGAGAAATATCAGGAAGCACGATAGATGACAAAAAGTTAAATGACTAAATATTTTTCAAGAAAGCAAAGAGTGGCTCATTGAAGGATTTGGTTATAAAATATATAAAACATATTTTGTTATTTAACTGTTTTCTTTGCTACATAATTCCACATATCTTATTTCATATGTTTGATGTCTTCTGTTATTATATCAAATATAAAGTAGTAGAAGTATATGAAAAACACTGAATAGAGAGAGTCCAAACATTTGTCTTTTGGTGATATAACGTCATGTTCAAGAGCAGAGCTCTGTGTAAAGCCACATGCAGAGCCTTCCATCACTGTTAAAGAGCATTTGAGTTGAAGATGTGAAAATGAAAATATGTCCAGTGTCCTGTTACATAACCGTCCCATCTCTGTAATGTGTGATTAAACCTGCTGTTCTCGGGATTAACATCTGTGGTTTGGACCAAATCATTCAAAATATAAAACAGACGGAAGCTTTCAGCAGACGAGGGACAAAAGGCAAAACAGGACTCACATAAAAGCACTTCAAAATCTTTAGTTTTGTGACCGGATTCACAAACTTTCATATTAATCTCACAGTCCCTTTAACTGATGACGAGCGTAAAACCTGTTGACCCTGCAGTTTAGATCTGTACATGTTCTGAAAGGTCCCCGTGTGTCAGATGCCCTCCCCCATGTGTGTCAGATGCCCTCCCCGTGTGTGTGTCAGATGCCCTCCCCCTGTGTGTGTCAGGTGCCCTCCCCCTGTGTGTGTCAGATGCCCTCCCCGTGTGTGTGTCAGATGCCCTCCTCAGGTGCGTCAGGTGCCCTCCCCCTGTGTGTGTGTCAGATGCCCTCCCCGTGTGTCAGATGCCCTCCCTGTCTCTCCTGTAGTTTAGATGTGTACAAACATGTTCTGAAATGTGATTCTAGTTTTAGTTTGTCAGTTCAGATTTCAGTGTTTTTGTCAATTCTTCTGGACGTGTTTCAAATGTGAACTTTGAACAGAATCCTAATACAAGAGGAACCAGATTAGACTCTTTTCTGATCTGCTATAATGTTGTTTCCTCATCACAAACAGACCTGGAGTTGTCTTTTGTTTCATTCACACGTTTAACACACAAACTGTAAAAAAACTGTTCCACCTTGTGATGTCATGAAGCTGTAGTTTAAGTTAACAGCTCCTTTTACCCTTTGTTCAGTAGAGATTAGCAATTCCAGGACTGAAATAATGAAAATATTCAAATGATTCTAGTAAAGGTGTGTGTAGTTTTAAAAAACAAAATACAAGAGCACTTCCTGTATTACCAGATGACATCACAAGGTGGAACAGAATGTTTTTAGGCTGAGAGAAGAACTTAAAACATGTGTGAATGATGTAATATGAGCCCTTTCAAATGTGAACTTTGAACAGAATCCCTTTATTAAAACATGAATGACAAATTTAAACACAATCTCAATGCTTGTCAAAAAAATGTCATAGTTTCTCTCCATCACCCTCACTTCCTCTGGGACGGGTGCACGGTGGTGACTTCTACAAAAAGGAGCAGTCTTGGATGATTGTGTGTATTGTCCAGAGTTGGGGGATGTTTGGGGGATGTTTGGGGGGTTTGGGGTCAGATTTTGGGGGTGTCCTGGTTGAACTCTTTTGTGGATTCCTTCAGAGGGAGTGTGCCTAAAGTGTGCCCGGCCCCTCCCCTCCCAGATGTCCTCATTGTGTTCAAGAAGTGACAGAAGGAGAGAGAGAGAGAGACCCCCACTGTCTATTCTCTCCTCCCTCCTCCCTCTCTTCTTCTCTCTCCCTCCTCTCTCCCCTCCCTCTCTCTCTCTCTGTCTCTCTCTCTCTCTGTCTCGGTCTTTCTCACCTCTCTCCCCCCCTCTCTTCTCCCCACTCTCTCTCTCCTCTCCTCCTACTCTCTCTCTCTCCTCTCTCTTCCCTCTTTTCTCTCGCTCCCTCCTCTCCTCTCCCCTCTCCCTCTTCTCTTTCTTTCTCCCCCATCTTCTCTCTCTCCTTCTCTCCCCACCTCCTCTCTCTCCCCCCTTCTCTTTCCCACCTCCTCTCCTCTCTCTCCCCTCCTCCTCTTCTCTCCCCCTTCTCTTTCCCATCTCCTCTCCTCTCTCTCTCCTCTCTCCCACCTCCTCTCCTCTTCTCTCCTCTCTTCTCTCCTCTCCTCTCTCCTTCTCTCCCACTCTCCTCTCTCCTCTCTCCTTCTCTCCCACTCCCTCCTCTTTCCTCTCCTCTCTCCCCCTCCTTCTCTTCTCCACTCTCCTCTCCTCCTCTCCTCTCTCTCCCCCCTTCTCTCTACCTCCTCCTCTCCTCTCTCCCCCACCTCCTCATCTCTCTCTCTCTGCCGCTCTCCCACCCTCTCCCCATCTCTCTTCACCTCTCTTCCTCCTCTTCCTCCCTCTCTCCCTCCTCTCCTCTGCTTCTCAAACACAGCAGTGTCACAAACCTGTTGTCAGTCAAATCCAGACTTACCATCACAGTTCTGTCACAACAATAAAACTCCACACTCGATTTCGATACAAAGAAATAGACTCGATACTCAATACCGATTCGGATGATAATAAAAACACTTCTTTAAACAACAGTGGTACTTTTTTATGTTACATGTGGCCTTATATCTGCGTAATCCCTCTGTCCCTGCGATTTTTCCTCTTTCTTGGTTTGTTAAAAAAAAAACAGCTGTATTTGTTTTGTCAGAGCATGTGTGTTAGAAGAATTAAAAGTGTGTATTCTGGATCCAAGGGAAAAGAAAAATCATGATATTCAGTGGGGCTGAACAATTTGGGAAAAATGTCTAATTGCAAACATTGAGCTTAGATTTGTGTTTGATGTTTTAATAATAAGATTCTGTTAAAAGGTCACATTTTTACTCTGAAAAGACTAAAATTTGACAAACTAATACAAGATAATCACATTTCAGAACATGTTTGTACAGATCTAAACTACAGTGTTGGCAGTTTTTATGCAGAATAAGACGGGAGATGTTGTTTGTGGAGGAAATGATGGTACTTTGTGATTTGCTAATTGCTCCATTCAACCAGATCTGGGTTCGATTCATCTCCCAGCCTTAATGTTCAACAATAGACACAAGCTGGAGCCGGGAGAAGGCACGGGCTTTAACCTCGGGGGAGTGAGGGGGGTGGAGGTGCATGGAGCAGACAGCGTGTTGACCTCTGAGCCCTGGTGACCTCTGCTTTCACTGCTCTGTCTCTTGAATAACTCCACAGGTGGTTCAAACTTTAGGACACACTTTCACTGTGAGTCCAAACAAACAGCTGCCGCAATTGTGCATTTCTCTTCGGTTTAATTAGCTCTGCCTCGAAAAGCACAGTCTGGGGTCCACGCTTTCTTAACATACTTCCTGTGGACAAATATTCACAGGTCAACATCCGTAGAGTCCGTCTGCATCTCCAAACACAACTCCAGGTCTGTTGTGATGAGGAAACCACGTCAGAACAGATCAGAAAATGGCATAATATGAGCTCTTTAAGGTTTCATCTCTGACAGTTTGAAAAATATTGTGGAACCTGTGAAGTTGTCAGACAGAGAGGAGCGCGGGGGGACCAGGGCCCCGCAGGAGGCTCCTCACAGACAGTCAACATGGCTCCTCAAACTATGTGTCAGACGGTCACTGAGGAATGTGCCCATCTAGAGTCACAGAACCACCACAGAGACTGAGACCATCACTCAGGCTTTATTACACAGGACGCAGACTGTCAAGAAAAGGACTAAACTAATCATCTACTAGTCATAAACCAGGACTGAACCAGGACTAAACCAGGACCAAACCAGGACCGAACCAGGACTAAACCAGGACTAAACCAGGACCAAACCAGGAACCAGGACCAAACCAGGACCCAAACC